TAAAATTATTGAATTTATTATTCATTTCTATTTTGAACGTTGTGAATACAACATATAGTAACAGAATATTTGATAATAAAACATAATTTCTTAAAATATTTCTGAATTTATTATCGTTTATCTCTCTTATCTTATCAGATAAATCAGCTGTTATTTTTCGTTATGATAAGCGGTGTCTGTGTCGATTTTTTCCGGTTGTGTTCCATTGTAAAAACCATATCTCTTATCGCTTTCCCTTATCACTTATCTTATCAGATAAAACAGCTGTTATTTTTCGTTATGATAACCGGTGTCGGTGTCAGTGTCGATTTTTTCCGGTTGTGTTTTAAACATGATTTAAGAGGGCGTCAAAGCAAAAGTGAAACGAAACCAACGCTCAAGAGATGGCGTTATTTTCCATATCGGCGCGGCGGCGGCGGCATATAGCCACGCCCATACGAGTGCTGCAACGCTGCGGGTTGCAGCCAGTGCGGAGTAGCACATCATTCTTTTACGGACAGCCGTTCTAGTAAAAACTAATATTATGCGCGCGCAACGTATGCTCCATCACGTTGGACATTGGCGCGGCACTATAATATAACACTCGCTATTGCGCTCGCCCGCTTGTTACAAACTAGAGTATTATTTTAAATACTGTTCATTAAAATGTATGTAACATTGAACAGAATAGAAAATACAATAGCCATCATAATTTGAATAACTTTGATAGCTTTATTACTTTTGTTGTTATGACAATATGACCTATGAATAACTTTCTTAGAAATCAGAATAAACGTATTGATACCTCGTACTTGCTTATTAGTTATTACCTATTATATGCGAATACGCGTCGACCAGTTTCAAAAATAACCTTATTATTATCTAATTCGATAAACAAATTCGTTTACCGAGTCTATGCACGATTTTCTCAGTAAATACTGAACGAATTTTATTCTAGTTTTCACTGATAAAAAGAGTGTTTTACGAGGATAGTTGATTATGCCTTATTATTAATTACCGTACTATTGATAATGCCTTAGATTTTTCTTTTGCGACTATTTCTTTTATACTTATAATCCTCGTTTTAATATGTATTATAGTATTAAGTATACTAAATTTATTACATGTTTTTCTTTAGCTCGCTAACACGTACGTACGTACGTTTGTACGGGTATTTTTCAAATCTTGCAAAATTAATTTAACCCACTTCCCGATGTCGTATAGGGCTGAAACTTTGCACAGACACTTGTCTTAGATGACAATACAATATCCTGTAATCATATTGGGACTCGGACATCCAGGTCGCCCTACACAGGGTCAAATGTGGGGGTCATTTCACTAAAATTTAATGTTTATTCAAATCTTCCAAAATTAATTTAGTAATCTATACAGCAATTATTAAATACCTTTAATAGGACTAAAAAGTAAAAAATTAAAATAAATAAATTTTAAAAAAACTTTTTTAAAAACATGCTTTTCTAAAAAAAAAAAAATAGTAAAAAGTAAAAAATAATTGTATTACAAAAACAATTTACCAATCAATTGTAGCATTTTTTATTTAAAATGTCATTTACTTTGAAAACAACCGAAAATTAACTAAAATTTTAAAGAATTTTAAATATCTTTAATTTTTTACTAAAAAGAAAACTGTGGGCCCTATTCAACAAAGTCCCTAATAAACTTATCAGATATTGTTTTATATTGTAAGTTCTTTTGTAATTTAAATTTAATTTAATATTTGTGTGTGACACATACATTTCATAATACTTAACTCAATGAATTTAGACTTTGTTGAATAGGGCCCACGCTTTTCTTTTTAGTAAAAAATTAAAGATGTTTAAAATTATTTAAAATTTTAGTTAATTTTCGGTTGTTTTTAAAGTAAATGACATTTTAAATAAAATATGCTACAATTGATTGGTAAATTGTTCTTGTAATACAATTATTTTTTACTTTTTACTATTTTTTTTTTAGAAAAGCATGTTTTTAAAAAAGTTTTTTTTTTAATTTATTTATTTGTGTAAATAAAAAGCCAATTTCAAATGTTCAGGTTATAGAATTAGGTAGACGTGATCCTTTGGATACCATTAATAACCCTTTAAATTATGCACCTGACAATTTTATGCGTGAAAAATAAGTCATAATGTAGACCGTAAAATTAATTGTATTTTATTATATATTTATATATCAATACATATTATTATATACCTATAAATGTAAAAAAAGTTGTAATTATTTTTTATGTCAATTATAATTGAAACTATTTTATACTTTACTTAAACAATAACCTATATGTATAAATGTACTTAATTTATACTTTTTAATATAGTTGTAAATTAAATATTTTTCATTTTTAAATGTATCGTTATTTACTATAATAATACATATAAAATTACCACACTAGATTTGAGTCGATTTCACTATTTTTGGTTAAATTACAGCAAGTCTGTGTAAAAAAAATATAATTAGTAACTTTTTTAAACTATTTAAATATTAGTACAATTATATTTTATACTAAATATAATTTAAAGTTAATAAATACAATTTAAACGAATTCGTTTTTTAATATGTAGTGATTTTATTATGTGAAATTAATTTATTTTTGAAACTGGTCGACGCGTACTCGCATAGAATAGGTAATAAGTAAGTACGAAGTACCAATACGTTTATCCAACAAAGATACATTATTACAACAAGAGTAATAAAGCTATCAAAATGATTCAAACTATGTTGGATATTGTATTTTTTATTCTGTTCGTTGTTTCATAAATTTCAATAAACAGTAGCTATACTATTCGAGAATGCGCGCAAGCTTGTGTAATAACACAGTGCCGCCGCTAACGCCTAACCCGGTCATTTTTTTTTTGTTTTAACATTTTTGGGGGAAGAAGTAGATTTTTCCAAATCTTCTTACCCCTCTATGTACCAACTATGTCCAATCACTGATCGATTGATGTGCCACTTGCGTAAATCGGTACAGCGGTTTAAAAGTTAAAGTAGTTCAAAGTTAAAGGTACTGCGTACGGATAGCACAGCACAGCTCACCTAACCCGGACCGGGCTAAAAATCAGTATTTTAGAATATTATAAAGTAGGTAACAGAAATAATATCGGATATCGATAAATGCAATAAAATAAAAATAAAACTATTGTAGATAAGAAGAAATATACAATAGGAAAAATTATATTATTACTTGCCGCCTAAAACCGGTTTTGGTCGTGGTCGGCGGCCGCCGCCTTCGTGTTCACGTGAGTTGCAACCCGCTAGGAGCTGCCCCCACCACCACTGCCGCCGCCGCGTCACACCGCATGTGTTTTAAAGTCGCCGCTAGGATCGCCACAAACTGGCACTAATAACTACTAAAATTTGACTAAAACATGTCTCAGGATATGCAATTTTCTGAGAAACTGAGTGGTTTTAGCGCATACTTGCCTATTAACAAAATTAAAGATGAAAAGTTTATCTACATATTAACAGAGGTTTTTTTCGATAAAATGTTTTAAAACGAAGATATACGCTATTGAAAAATGAAAACTTCAAAGATCTATAACTCGGTTCCTAGTAACATAATCGAAAAAAACCTATGTTAATATGTAGATAAACTTCTAATCTTTAATTTTGTTCATTAGCAAGTATACGCTAAACCCACTCGGTTTCCCAGAAAGTTGCATATCCTGAGACATGTTTTACGCGCCGAAAAAAAGTGGTGTGACGCCCTCTTAAGATAGAATGGTTACGCGACGGCCAATACTAATCTGCAGTAACTTGCGGCGGCAAAGGTTCTTATCAAAAATCATGAAATACTCACTGATTATTAGCGCTCCTAGTAGCAAATTCAACATATTGCCCGGCAAAATTTGAATTAGTTATAACCTAACCAGGTTATTACATTATTAACTAGGTATTAACTAGATACATATTATAAACAAAACTTTCGTGAATGACGAGGGAAAAGGCTTCCCTCGTAATTCACGTTTTGGCCAATGTTTCTAATTATCATAAATTTGTTTTTGAACTTCATAACTTAAAAGTTTTGAAATTTAATATTATTTTTTAAAATGCCAAGTTACTGTTGTTTATCTATTCCTCACGATACATCGAAACCCCTTTTTGGGTTGCCTCAAGATGCAAACAGAAAGCTATTGTGGGAAGAAGCATTAGGGATAAAACTTAAAAAAAGTCACCGAGTATGTGCTAACACTTTAAAAACAGTGACATAATTAATAATTGGGATTCGGGTCAAGGATGTAGTAAATATTGAGTGTTTTTGTAGTAAATTTGCATTTAATAAACATAGTTATGTCTAACTCGAAAGGTTGCTTTAAAAAGATTACAACTGAAAAAAGATGCTGTCCCCATAAATTTACTAGGTAGTACACATAATAAATGTTTGACATTATTTCCATCTGTTCTAATGAGACAATTGTATTGTAAACCCATACAAATATATATTGGTCTTATTTATTTACATTATATGTTAAAGAATAAAGTTAAAAAGGTGTTAATTAGTAATTAATAGGTAAGTACTTGTGTAATTTAAAAGTTGGTTGATTTGTAACTTATTTTAGGCTTTGTGAACATTTATTTGCCCTGATAAAATAATACATACTATACCTACACAAATTCTTTTACCTACTTAATTCCTTTTAATTGCCTGTTAGCAAGCAACAAAACAAATATTAAAACCGTTTTATAATTATTAATTTTACACTTGAATTCAATGCGAATATGAATTTTGATTATTTGTTTTTAATATTGATAATAGTATATCACTATAGATTGCGCTGTAGTACAGTGAGTTTTTTAAATTATTGATAAGAACCTTCGCGGCCGCAATATTAGTCCTCGTCGCGTAACCATTCTATCTTAAATCATGGTTCCAAAGTAAAACCCATATCTCTTATCTGTTATCTATCAATGTAAAACAACTTTAAAATTAATAATTAGTAAAAAAAAACCAAGTCTTTACAAAAAATAACTCTTCTTTTATTATTTTATTACAACAATTAATGTCCATTATGATTTGTTTTCTAGATTTTCAAAAAACCTAAAATTTTCTGTACAAAAGAAATTTTTTTTACACAATATTACACAAGTAGTATTTATAATTGATTCCTTTCACATCACTGTCTGAAGTCTATAATATTGACTAGTAAACTATAATCCCATAAGATGTGTTCCGCAATCTGAAATAGTCGGCATAATATAATTACTTCGAGTTCCAGCTTTCGAATTGAACCGTTATGCATTTAAACTTACTGCGTACATATCTTCATTATCTACATTATGCGTATGGAAACCACTCGCAGATTTACAGCTCGCGATGAATTGAACGCCATAAGGAGTTAAGGTGAAAAATGAGTTACTGGAAAGTCAACCGATAATTTTCGCATGATATAATTTAAAATAGTACACATAAGCTAAATAATAATTACTTATTAAATTTGGTTGCGCAGACAATCGCAATAGCTTCTGGTAACATTATTTGGTAAGCATAATGAGTGTGTAAGTCTACACTAGACATGAATGAGGCCTGTGATGGATGAGTCTAAAAAAAGATATGAGAATAACGAAATGATAACTGAAACAAGCAAGACACTACAAAATAACTGATAGTACCAGATCCACTATAAGTGGCGCTAGTGATAATTAAAGAAACAACCAAATAATAAGTATGTAGTAACAAGAGGTAATTGTTTGGACTAAAATAGTTAAAAATAAAAAATAAAGTTTTAAAAATTGGATTTAAACAGCAACAATAATCACCACGAGGAAATACGATTACGGATTAAGGACGGAAACACGTGCTATTTTACACTGCAGAAAACTTACAGGTCCAAGTATTGACCAAAAAAATTTAAAAAAAGCTACGATCTCCAGATAATTGTAGTCAATAACCCAGAAGAAGTAGGAGTAATAGAGTGTTGGTAGAAGCTTTGTGGAGCATTATCATCATCATCATCATCATGTAGCTTAACGGGCCATGAAGGCCCAACGCTGCCATAATGATATGATTTCTTGACGAATTTACTGTCCGTCGCCAGAGGGGGATGGCGGCTCCTTTTCACCGGACGATTGCTCGCCCAGCAAACGGAGCGCCCGTAACTAAGTGTCCGTAACCAGTGACAGTAAGCGCTAACACACTGCCGCCTTAGCCACTCGGCCACTCCGGTATGCTTCTTTGTGGAGCATAGATGGTCTTAAAGCTTAAGAAAAAAAAGAATGTATTTGGCTAACTGACTCAATTTATAGGTGAGATAAGGCGAAAAAGAAGTAGAATTATAAATATAAATTATAATCTTACATGAATCCATCCTAAAGTCATTAGGTTTTTTGTATCTTGAAACTCAAAAATATCTTCTTCATTCGTTGCCGTACAAGAATCCGGGGTACAGTTTTGATTTGGAATCAACAAGGTTGTTATTATTAGACTATTGACACTCTAAAAAAGTGAAACAATAAAAGGAAGGCACCAAATAAAAATCGGAAATGTTATTTTTATAACATAGCCTTACTTACTAATTTTCCAGCTAATATACCACATGTTTCTAAATTAACCATAGTATTATTTTTTACAATATCCAAAAATCTTTGCAATAAATCTCCTGGAACTATTATGTTCCGTTGATTGTGTAGACGTTTTGTCACTGGATTTGAGTTTCTGTCAACATGGGATTTTTCGCTGGAAATAGCAATACATTTTATCTATTAACTATTAAGTACTTACATTATTTGGTATAAATGTACTTTAACGGACACACCTTTTTTTTGTAATTTGTTTTTTACCATATTATAATGTTTTTTTACGCTGATTACAAATCTGAAGACAGAATTGGGTCGACTCCACTAGTTCGAATATTATAGCTTAAAGGGTGTCCGGTAAATTGCATTTATTACTTAAATTACCTATGCTAAAAAACATTATTTATCATAATAGTTAATCAATAATAAAAATACAATTACAATTGTCCATTATTTTTAATAACAAAAATATTTTGATTACATTTTTTTTTGTAAAATAACTTGATGCTAAAAAAATTGTAGGTTTTTTTCACTATAATTTTTTTCCGGATGTTATAGCAAAATATATTATTACACCAACTTTGGGATTATTTTTTTAATTTAATAAATATATCGCATAAATATAAATATTAAATAGGTTTTCAAAGAAGAAATTGTATACATATATTATTATGATTTTACAACTAAAAATATCAATTATGCGTACTAAGTAATTCAAGAGTTATTACATATGTATAAGTGTTCGATATTTTAACTAAATTTAGCTATAATTGAAATTTTTAATATAACGTATGTATGGATAACCAATTTTTTTGTATTGAATTTAAATACTTAGCTTTGCTAAAAACGACATAAACATTTTTTAGGTAAAAAAATTGCATGTAGATTATAATTAATAAGTAAAGTCTCATTAAATAAAATAGTTTTTTGGTTCTTAATAAGAAAAAAACTACAAAATGTATTAATCGATAAATTTAAGGAGCCCGTGCAAAAACAAGATAGATTTTATTTCAACTTTCCAGGATGGTAGAATAAAATATTTATTTCATTTACTGCAGTTGGTGAGAAAAGTGCATTTGGTAATACATTTGTAAATAATTGACCGATTTTACTGTTAGCCGCACTAAAGTATAGATAATTTTTCTATTGCAAAACAAGTTGTCTGCAGTGGCGTTTGCACGGACCTCTTCAATTGTTAATATTGGTTACATACTCAAAGCATTTATGTTGTGAATGCACGTTGCTTGATATACTTGGTAGAATTGTTGGATCTTTGTAAAAGTTATATTGATTTCTAAGACTGATAACAATAAAATTATTTGAATTTCTATAACAGCTTTTACAATGATATAAATAATTTCGGATAAGTAAAATACTGTTTATACGTACCTATACAAGTACGTATCAGCTATGCAATTCTATAACACAGTAAGTACTTACATATTTTAATAATCATACAGAAGATCCAACTTAAGGAGTATTGATTACTTGATGTAATTTTTTTTGCGTAAAATGGTAATTGAGGGAACAAGAATGTGAGGGCAGTATTTATAGTAATCGTATACAATTTTTACAATCTGTAGAGAAAAACTTTATCTACGATGAAGTGTTTTTCCTTTTTTAATTTATTAATAAAAAAATATTAACTATAGATATCAAAAATATAAAAACGTTACCCCATAGTTAAAGTTCTATTCTCAATACTTCTCCCCTGCTAAGCAGTTTTGATGGAAAAAAATTGTAATTTATCCTTTAGAAATTACTGTGATAGTCTGACAAAAAAAAAATGGCAATCAATAAAGTATTCTCATTGTTGTATAAATAAGTGTACACTATAGTTCAAGCTCTAAATTAAGATTTTGTCAAAACTTGGTTATATTTTACTCCTTAGAAATAGGCTGAGTGGTTTCATCTTAAATAATAATCTAGAAAGCAAAATATACTATTTACAATATTTATAGTTTAGCGGGTTACCAATGTTCAATAAGTTTGCTGTATGAAATATTTTCCAAATGTAACCTATTATTGTGTTATAGAATTGAACAATCGAGCATAGTTAAGCACTAAGAAAATAATAATAATAATATTAACTATGGTAGTCTTTTCTTTAAACCACTATTATTGAAGTCTGTACGAGTAGTTGCGTTGTTTAGGATCATATTTAAATGTTTCTCAGTGACTCTATTAGTATTAAAAGATACCTCATGCCCATCATCACCGTATACGCCTTGTAATTTTTCTCTATCCTTTTGTTCTTGTATTGCCTATAAAATATACATTAGTATTACTGATCACTCATGTGAGTTATAATAAGAATAAAAACTATGAATGCGTTAACACCTTGAAGAGGAAAAAACTTAAAAAGAGCGGAAAGAATATATAAAACAGGAAATTCCAAAGTTGCTGACGAGGACGACTATAAAGGGTTATTATTATTGCCTTATATACAAGGAGTTACGGATCGCATCTCGAGAATTACTAAAAATTTTTAAATAAAAACATTATTCAAACCCAATATGACAATTGGATCATTATTCCGAACCCCTAAAGACAAAATCCCGGAAATGATGACACCAGGTGTATATGAAATACCATGCACTTGCGGTAAGTCATACATTGGTCAAACGGGAAGGGCTATTGAAATACGAGTAAAAGAACATGAAAGAGATGTTGACTATAAAAGGAAAGATAAATCTGCAGTAGCAGAACATGCGATGAACTCGGGGCATGTTGTCCAGTTTGATAAAGTAAAAATACTTGACAAAGAAACCAACTTCGGCAAAATAATGTATAAAAAGGCAATAGAAATTGAAAAGTGTCCACAAAATTTCAATAGAGATGATGGTTAGAAAATCAGTGACGCGTGGAAACCCATTATCCATCTGGAAAAAATAAAAGAAGAAGCTAAACCAGCTCTCCAAAAAGAAGCAGCCACTGTAGAAATTAATGAAAATTGCGGGTGTAGAAAAGGCAGACCTAAATGTAGGGAATGCCAAAAAGAAACGGCACAACATGACACATAATGACTTATCACGACAAGTTGTGACACGGTATGGCGCTCGTTTCCTATTGGTCGAGAAACACGACATCAAGGTCACGGCATGTATAAATAGCGGTAGGGAATGAGCGAAGCAGTCAGTATGGTCACGGCATTTGAACAGTCGAGACCACTATTGCCCTGAAGATAGACTCTGCAAAGAGTCCGAAGCGTCGGCATAAAACATGGATATATCCAAAAATTACTTAATTGAGAATAAAAACTATCATAGATTAACCCTATAACTTTGTTAATTTAATGAATCTAACGGTATTTTAAAACTAGCTTTTTGATACATTTGTTTTCGAAATTTAGAATTCCCAAATTATATAAAATAGCCTATAGATCTCTATCAAGATAACCTAATGCTAATTAAGTTATAACACAATCACGGCGTGTTTTCAAATGGTTCTTTTTTTAAATTATCAGTCTTAATTGTTTAGTCGCTTAATGTGTTTACTAATTGTATGTAACAACCGCTTTTCACTGACTTTAGTAGTATTAATGTTGAGTGTTATAACACTACCAACTTTATCAAACTTCAATGATATTATATGTATTATAGTTATTTATAGATTAATAATTTATTGATTGAGTTGCATTAATTTTGACACTAAGACGCGACATATTGTAAATATTAAAAACGATTGTCTTTTACTTTTTGCTCTAGGTATTGTTCATATTCATTGCTATATTGGGCCTTTAATTGACTTTTCAAATTTTCGGCTCTTGGAAGGACATCTCTAAGTAGTCGATTATTTGCATTACGGTCTTCTGCCGGGACATTTTTGTAATCCGGATGGGTTGAAATTGTTTCTAGGAATAATCTAACAAATGCATTCAAATGAAAATTGGGGTTTTCTTCCCAAAGCTACTCACTCAGGGCCCTAGAAAATAGGTAGGACGCACACAGCGGACAATGCACTCCGTGCGGCACTTAATTATCAGTTGATATTTACCATCACGGACCGCAACTACCGATGATATTGTGCGCTATATTTTTGCCGACCTACTACACAAATACCTTGAACCTAGTTCACAAAATTTTATACTACTTGATTTTTTGTGTACTTGTTTATTTTTTAAATCACATATTCTTTTTCCGTCCCCCCTACCTATTGTCTGGGGCGCTGAGTGAGTAGGATTGGGGCGAGAAGTTACGGTCAGGTGAAATATCACCGTTACACTACTATAACAATATGTTTTTATTTTTTTTTAATATTATATTGTAATGTAGGTACATTAACCACAGATCAGAATCGTGGTTCGTAAAACTCATTAGGTAACTTTTTTTTCGTACATACATCCATGAATGTACTTGTTTTAAAGCAAATGTAATAACTAATAAATATAGTCAACTCACACCATAAATTTATTATACAGAATATATGCTTGTTCTAAGTTGTTATCTTTTAAATACACTTCAGCCATTCTTATCATATCTATTCCCGATTGGTAATACCTAGAAAACGAAAAAAATTGTGTTATAGTTGTCATTTGGACGGCATTTAATAGTATTTTATAAAATTATTTTTCTAAAAGCTACTGTAGCTACACACTTTCTAGCAGCCACATTTGGATTTAACTCAACCTTCGAACTAAACAGGAATATTTGATTGAGCCGCTGGTCCGGCGTCAACATGATTGTTTCTACTTCATCGAGACCGTGACTCATGTTTGTTGATCAATCAAAACTATATATAGGTACCGTGTAAACAAAGAAAAAAATCTTAAAATATCATAATATACAAAACAATTTGTCTTCAATACTTCAGTTAAATTATTTAGCTTGTAATGTTAAAATCAATTGGACAATCTGCTGTGTGAATTAAGGCAACCTAATGAATGACCCCACTCTAATGTTATAACTTTGATGTGGAGCTGAAAAAATGTGAAGTCTCAACATTTTATCAGTTGGGTTGTCAAACCACATTGGAATATGTTGAAAACCATTATTACTAGTTATTTTTTGTTGAAATTCCTTGGTCATTAAACGTTCAACATTTAAACTTCGGATCTTTGATAATATTAATATTACCAAATTCTATAAAACTTTATAAATAGCGTGTTATTTAAAAATTATTAGAAGCTGAACAATTAATAACGTCTTCCGAAGTTTCACCTTAATATTAAAAAATATCATCTTAACAGGCATAGGTATTACCTATTGGCTATTGCTAAATTAATTTATTACACTTATACAGTGGCGTATACAGGAGGGCATGATGGGGGATATATCTCCTCCCATGGGACTTTTTTTTTATATTTTAAACATGACAGTTCATCAACATGAAATGTTGATTAAAGCCTCGATTAAAGCTATAGTTTATTAGTTACCTACTAAATAGTTTAGTATATATTTTTTATGTATAGTGTTATTATTCATAAATAATAGTAATACTTAGTAAATACAAATATTTAATAATTCTTTAAAAGTATGCATAATTCTTAATATTATCAGTTCAATAGCAAACAGTAATAAATACTGTTGTGAATATTTTTTTGTTATTATAATAAAGATTGAAATACATTTTCGTTAATCGTTGTACTAGCCTATGGCATCCCCCCCCCCCCCCGCATACAAAATTCCTACGCACGCCACTGCACTTAAATGACTTATTTTAAGCTAAAAATTAACTCCCCTAAATAGTTGCTCCTAATATATTGTATACTATGAATTATAGACTCACTAGACAACAAGTACTTTTTTATACTACCTACCTATTCAACACGTTAGACTGTGAACTGCGACAACAATGATCTATTTCAAATATTTGATGTGTAATCTACGACATAAATAAATTATAACCTGAGAGAAAAATTATGTAATTGTGACAAATACTTACTGGTAAACATTCAAATTTAAAACAAAATTAAATTTATATTGAAAAATATTTACTTTCAAATTGTCACATTGGTTCATTGGTTTCATTGGTTACGTACAAAAACCAAAAGCATATTTGTTTATTTTTTATTTTTAACATGTGATTTCATAAATTCTTACGGGCCGGATACGATAACAATGGCCGAAAACTAAAACACATTTGAAAAGGTGGACAAACGTCACCAGTAAGTAATTCTTCGACCACTCGAATCAATTATTTAAATTATTGTCAAAGATGTTAATGAAAATGGCACCTTTAGTAGAGACAGAGGCGAACGCAAGAAACCATATCGGGAGGGGGGGGGGCATTAATTAAACTTATCCAACAATTTTGTTGAACATCGTTGGATAAAAATGAAATTTTGTTGGACTTTATTTTCGTCACAAGAGCTTTTTTGACAGCTCCAAAGATTTATACACTGAGGTTTTTCATTATGCTGAAAATCGGCTTTAATACTGTTTAATGCCGACGTCGGATAGCCTCCGACACTGGATACGAACGCGGCTGTCCGATGTCGGAGGGTATCCGACAAATGTTATATGTATGTTTATAGTGTTCTAAAATACTCGGCTATTAAGTTATGACCCTTATATTTGGTATGGCTATTCAGTATATATTTATAAATAAATTGGTGTAGTTGGTTTATAGTTTCCGCCATTTTTGTGATAAGGCAACATATTATCTACCACATATTACAAATTTAAAACACGTGTTTTTTCTATTGTCTAACACTATTATCATTATTTTTTTTTCCTAATATACTAAAAGTGGTAGTAAACATTTTAGGTATCGACAAAACAATCCATGCGTCAATATTTCCACATTTATTGTTTCTATGTTCATATCATATGTTTATCATATTGTTAGGCACATGGAGGTAACTAAAATGTGATAACAGTAAACAGTTTTATTTAAATAAAATAATAATTAAATAATACCAATATGGATTTCCCTCCTGGTCCTTCTAGAGAACGTTCTCGTAGTCCTGTTAGAAGTATGCAAAAGAACTTATTGACAGACGAGAAACTCCTCTTAATTTTAGATAAGGATAAATGGTTTTCATCTGAGGAAGATTTTGACGGAAGTTCTGATGATGATTTTGGAAGCAGTTTGGATGATGATTTTAGTGATATGGCAGATGTTAAAGGTGACAATTTAAATAATTGTACTCAATATACTCCTATAGATAATAATATGACGACTGATGAATCTGATAATAATTTTAGCGCAGCGCTTAACAGTTCTATAATTAATTGGTTATCTGACCCTCCCGACGTAAACTATATTGAATTTTCAGCTACACCAGGTCTTAAAAGTGTACCCGTAGGAAACAAACCTATTGACTATTTTAATTTTGTGGTTACTGATGAGTTTTTTGATCTTATTGTTGAGGAAACAAATGCATATGCATTTGACATTTTTTTAAATCAAACAAGCGAAAGTGCCAAAATTAATTATTGGGTAGATACTACCCTGTGGATAGGGATTAGAATACACCCTCGGTAGTCCATGCCTGTCGTAAGAACCGACTAAAATGGATCTAGTAGTAGGCAGCAGCGCTACTAGTATCAAGCGTAAATAATTTATTTACGCTTGAGTAGTATCTCTTAGAAATAAGGTATGCTACTGCGATCAGGGAAAGCAACGGGAAACTACCCTGATTAACCCCTTCCCAAGAAAACCCATCATGATATTGTCTGCAGTCAAATCAAGAGATTGTTGCCAACGTCAACTGATGGGTCACCAAACTTCCGCTTTTGGAAGATGGACTTAAGAAGAAGACTACCCGAAAAAATTAAAAATATTTTTTGGTTTGTGGTTTCATATAGGAACAATTAGATTAAGTAGATTGGAAGATTATTGGAAAACGGGTCGACTTTTCAATACTCCATGTTTTCGTGAAAATATGAGTCGTAACCGATTTATGTTAATATTACGAGCATTACATTTTACTCGTAACGCTAAAGAGGGTGAACCAGTTCCCCATAAAAGATTGTTTAAAATCCAGAATGTTTTGAATTATTTTAATTCAAGAATGGATGAAGTTTATGAACCTTCTAAAAATTTATCTATAGACGAATCAATGGTTTTATCAACGGTTGTTATTTCGCCAATACTTAAAAAACAAACGACATAAGTATGGCGTAAAAACATATATGTTAACCGAACCATGGGGCCTAATACATAGGGTTATGGTTTATTCTGGCCAAGGACATGATGTTTCTAATAGTTTGAGCCACACAGAGTTTGTAGTTCATAAACTTATGAATGGATTATTTTATAAAGGTCGATCACTATTTATGGACAACTTTTTTAATACCTAGTGTGAATTTAACAAAACAGTTGTTAGAAAAAAAAACGTTTGTCACACGAACATTACGATCTAACCGCAAATACAACCCCAAAGAACTGATTAATAAAAAATTAAAGAAAGGAGAATGTATACATCGATCTACAAACGAGGGTATATGTGTTATAAAATGGAAGGATAAGAGAGAAGTTTTGATGATAAGTTCTGAGTTTTCTCACTCTTGTGTGGAAGTAAATTCTAAAACGGGAATAAAACAAAAACCTCTAATAGTAAAAAAATATAATGAAAACATGTGTGGGGGGGGGGTAGATCGCCAAGATCAAATGTCATCATATTACCCCTGTGAGCGAAAATCTTTGAGGTGGTATAAAAAAATAGGCTTACATTTTATCCACTTACTATTAATAAATTCATACTTCCTTTACAGTAAACACGTCCAAAAAATATCATTGTACGACTATAGGCTATCGGTTATTGAGAGTTTATTATCTGAGAACGAAAATAATATTCCAAAAAATTCTCAAGAAAATAATAAAGAACCACATTTACCAAAAATGGTCGAAAAAAATGAAAAAAATCTGTATTTTAAAAAACGATGCAAGATTTGTGCTAATAAAAAAATACGAAAAGAAACCATATATTTTTGTAACAGTTGTGATGATAAACCAGGCTTATGCTTGGAAAAATGCTTCAAAGAATATCACAAATTTCATTAATATCAGATTTTGTTAAGTATATTTTGCTGTTTAAATTTTAGATTTATCCAATTGAGGATTGTAATTTTGTAATTTAATATATAATCAAGATAAAGATATCAAACTATTAAAGAAATGAAGTTAAGAGAAACGTGATTTATATTTTTTTTTTGTACTATACTATCGTATAGTCCTGTGTTTTATATTATTTTATGAATTACTACTTTGCAAAAATTTGTTATTTTTTTAAGTTTGTTTTATTAATATTAAAATTTGTTATTTTTTTATTTTGTAATTTAATATATAACCAAGATAAAGATATTATCAAACTATTGAAGAAATGAAGTTAGACAAACGTGATTTATATTTTTTTTATGTACTATACTATCTTATAGTTGTTTTAAATTTTTTTTTGGAATTACTACTTTGCAAACATTTGTTATTTTAGAACCATCTACAAGCTCTATGCGGGCCGTCTAGCCAAGAGATTCACCGCGTGGCTTCTGGGTAACCAGGTAATAAGCCCAGGCCAAAAAAGCTTCCTCCCGGCGGACGGTGCTTTTGAGCACGTACACACACTTAAGCACATTTTGGAGCGCGCCCGCACCGGTCGGGCTGACAAGTGTGTGGCGTGGCTCGATGTCTCAAACGCCTTCGGTTTGGTGCCACACGATTCCCTCATCGGGGCGACCAGAGCGTCCGGGGCAGGTGAGGCCGTCGCAGAAAATCCTATTGAAGCAATGGGAAGAAGCGATTCGAAAATTTGAAGATAAAGAAAAGAACAAAATCATCAACAACT